AAAGGAAATTTAAGTAGCATAGATGCAGAATTATTAGCTATAAATTATGCACTAGATAGTTTTGAATTATTTATTATATCCAAGAAAGAAATAACAATAAGAACAGATTGTGCAGCCATAGTTTCCTTTGTCAATAAAATGAAAATAGATTCAAAAAGAAGTAGTAGAAGAAGGTGGTTAAATTTTATTGATAGAATCACTAATACAGGGATTAATATAGAATTTGAGCATATTAAAGGTAGTGATAATAAAGCAGCAGATATATTAAGTAGAATAATAATAGATAGAAACTATTAAATTTGTTTAATATAATTTCTTTATACAGATGACAAGGCCAACACCTATAAGACCAGGAATTCCACCAGGGAATTCATTTGCATCAAGACTATTACCACAAACTCCATTTAATCAGAACAGACCAATGTTACAAGACAGACTAAGGTTTGGAAACCAAGAACTCATAGTCTTTCCAAATAGTAATATTTCTTTTAAAATTTTACCGCATATTTCTTTATCTAGAGAAGAGAAATGTATCTTAGACAATTTATGGATTTCTTATAATAAGAATCCAAAAGACCAAAAATATTTTCTTGCATGCATGAATGCATTATCAGAACATTTTAGTCAGAACAAGCAAAGGTTTAAATTTTATGTTGTCATTAAAGGAAGAACTCCAGGATTTTTTCATACCTGGTTAGAAGTTATAGATTGCATTAAAAATTTTCCAGAACCTATTTACAAAGGTTTTACAAATTTTCAAGAAGCATTAGATGTTGCAAGACAACAGATAGGAATAAATTTTTATTTATCTCCTTCTTTGAAGAATTACTCAGACCCTCCATTAGATTTTTCTCCAAGTAAAGACCAGAATATTTTCTGCCAACATTGTGAATGTATGCAGAGAAATTTCAAAGTTATCAATGAAGCCAATCAGAACCTTTCATTAGAAAGAACTCAACTTCAAAAGAAAGTGGCCCAATTAGAAAAAGAGATCTTGAATTTAAAAGTCCATTATCCAACAGGTACTATGGAGCCCAAGAAGTCCATAGCTAGTCCAGCCCAAATGGTAGCTGGTAAAGACTCATCAAATCCGTTAAAGGTTGTGGACTTACCAAAAGCCCAACAGACTCAGGGGACTGTTGATTCTCCTACTAAATTAGATGATCAGACTCAGCAGACTGATAAATCTGCTACAGAAAAAGGTAAAGAGATTTGGGATCTCTTAGGACAGCCCAATGGAAAATTTGATTATTTAGTCAAATATAGTCCACCAGAACATTTTTCCTCAGAACATTTTTCAAATAACCCAGAATTTTCACAAGCCCAAGAATTTCAATCTAGTAAGGGAAAAGAAAAAATGGTAGTCCAAGATAGTCAAGAATGTTTATTTTTTCAAGAATCACAAGATCCAAATCCAGATACTGCCTCTTTAGAAAAGATCTTTGAGAAAATTGAAGAACTCCAAAAACAATCTAAAAAAGATGAAGGGAATTCTTCTAGAAAAAAGAAAAAGATTAAGAAGAAGAAAAATGATGAAGGACTAAAAGAACAAATAAGAGAAGCAGTTAACCAAGCATTCGAGACAATATTAAAAAAGAGCCATGAAGAAGAAAAAGAAATTGCAGAATGTCCAGATCAGAAAGAAAAAGATGAAGCCAGTAACTCCAGACTTTCAGATGAAGACGAAGATCCACATGAAGAAGGATACAATAATTCAGATAGTGGAATGTCATTTTCATCAGTGGCACGTCATAATCTCAGTACATAATCAGATCATCAATAATGCAGAACAAGACAAAAGTGATGGAAGAAAAGAAGGAAAAACTGAAGATCCTTATCACATTACTATAGACCTTTTGATTTTTGAAGAAAGATGTCAGAAACTTTTAGACTTTTACGTAAATTGGTAGAAATTTCAAGATTCCTAAACTGTAGACTTTTAGACTTTTGTAAAAGTAGGAAATTTTCTTTCCACTTGTTAGATCTATCTTGAATTAGCCAGAAGTTTCTCGGTGAAACGTGTGCTCTTTTCAAGGATATTTTAGACTTTTTGCTCTCAAGAATTTTTCTATTTAAGGAACAAGTTTCATTCAGGTTTAGGCAGAAGTTTACAACCTGTGTACTCTCTGCTATTCAAAAACCTTTTGAAACCTTTCTCAGAAAAATTCTCAATCCAAAAAATCATTGTATAGTTGAATCATCCTTGTGAATATTTAAGGTATTTTTGTATTTCTTTAAGTTTATTTTAGAACCTTAGGAACTTCCCGAAAGGGAAATCCTTAGTTGTAAATTTTTTAAAAGATAAATTTATAAATCCCTGATTTATGTTTTATTAGTTTATGTTCATATTTTTGTATTTATGTTTTAAGTAAATATCTGTTATGTTTCTCATTTCATCCTATGCATATAATAAAAGCATAACTTGATTTTTAGAAGTCATACTATTTTTAGGTTAATCCTGAGTGACCCAGATGAATGAAAACTTTTGGCCGGAGTGAGCCTTTTTGATGTTTTCTAGAGATGCTGGGGAAAGGGAGAAATTAATCTAAGAATTTTATAAGGGAGTGCCACGGGTAACCTTATAAAAAGAAATCAGGTTCAAGTTTATATGTCATAGGTGGTGAAAATTTAAATGAAAAAAAAAGGGGGATTTATACATGATTCTTAAGAAAGATTTATAGAAAATTAAGGAGAGTACTGAGTAGGATTAAAGCTATTAAAAGTAAAACATCCATCTTAAAACAGCATACCCCCCATTTGGTATATATATATATATATATAATGGAGAAACCAATTGAAATGAAACAGCTCCATGATGGGCTCTAAAGAAATTCTAGACATGGATAAAAGTCTCATGTTCAAATATATTCACATCAAATAGGCCGGCTGTTGTATTATATTGAAATCTCAACAAGTAGATATACAGTGTAGAAGCTGTACAAATGTGACGATTAAGGCTCCAACTAGTCAGCCCATTAAAAGTATTTTCTTATTCAAAGCAGACGTGGGAAAATAGAAATAGAATAAATTGATTATAAACCGAAAATGTAACGTCAAATGGCGTGCTAATTTATTAAATTTTAAGGCGCAGTTTGGCTATAATATTCAAATGTTATCTACTACACCACCGCTATATATACCATGTTCAGCTGCTGTTTCCTGCACAGCTCTTCACTTCTTCTCTATTGTAACTCACTTAACTTTTCAACGAGTCTTCATAGGTTATACTATTCAAGGTAAATATGGGTATCTCCAATTATTTCCATGAACTCAAAACTAATGTTTCTCCCAAGAGGCTGTTCAAGGCTTTGATCACCGATAACCACGATGTTTTGCCGAAAGTCTCCCCATCCATCAAGAGCATTGAGACAATTGAAGGAGATGGTGGTGCTGGAAGTGTCAAAAAAAAACAAACTTTTCTGAATCTGAAGGTTAGTCCAAATATTAAAATCGCAAAAAAAGAATGAGAACGTAATATTTTGTATATATGTAGTACTATTGTGTTAAAGGTCCTTCTTCTTCTTCTTTTTTTTTTTTCCCCTTTTTTTTAAATTTTTAAATTTTTTATTATTTTTATTATTTTTACGACACCAGACAAAATAAAACATGTCCGAAGTTTTGTTCATTTTACATACTCTCATGAGCATTTGCGTTATATAACAGGGTCTCACTTCAAGAACATGAAGACCAAGGTTGACTCCTTGGACAAAGAAAACTACGTGGCCAAGTTCACTTTGGTTGAGGGAGATGCCCTTGGTGATGAGCTTGAAAAGGTATGTTACGAGATGAAATTCGAGGACTCAAAGGATGGAGGATGTGTCCTCAAGATCACCAGTGAGTATCATTCAAAGGGTGATATTGTACCTAAAGAAGAGGATATTAAAGCAGCACAAGAACATACTATGGAGCTCTACAAGTCTTGCGCAGATTACCTGATTGCCAATCCTCATGTTTGTGTCTAAATAAAAAACTTTGTTCTACTCTTCCATTGAAGTTTGTTCTTATCCAACTATTATCCAAATTTACTGTACAACATTAAGATGAAATTTTAGCAATGTTCAGGTCGTTGCCTTAATAAAGCGAATTTGTTTGTTTATTTCCATTCACGTCTATTTATTCCTATTTCATGTCGAATTTTCAATGAATAGTACCAAATTTCATCAAATTACATGTGAGCTTGCTATTTATATATGTTTCATTGCACGTAAATTTCAGTTGCAAAGAAATTTAATCTAGATATGGACTACTTAAAACTGCCGTTTGATTGCAAAAGTGAAAAGGCAAATTAATTCCATGTAAGTTGGAAAAAAAAAACTACCAAAATCATACGAATGCATTTTCCATGAAATTGGCCAAAAACATGCTTTTGAGTGTTTGTACCCTAAAATTCAAACTCCATTTCCACTTTCATATCAAACAGCTAAAATAGAAAACGAATTCCTCGGATATAACATTTTCCATGGAATTGAAGTCAATCAAACGGAGCGTAGGATCCCTTTAATAATTACCTGATCCAAGAAACGAATAAGGACAGAAAAAACTGTGGAATAGTTACATCTAACTTTTGTACGTTGGATTTTTTGCATCATTAAATGAAGTTACTTTTAGGGTCTGTTTAAATGCAAAGATGGAATTTGGATGGAAAGAAAACGAATTCTAGAAAATTGAATTGTCTAGAATTGTTTACTGAAAATTGTCAATTATTGTGTTTGATTGGTATAATTTTTTACGCAAAAAATGTTGAAATAAAAGTATTTTTTGTTATTCGTTTGACTTTGTTTTACATGAAAATTGTCAATTAAATGGATAGATTTACTGTTATTGGGGGATAGAATTTGTTTTCATTGTCAAAAAAAGACAAGAAAATCATATATTTTTTTATGTTCGTTTAACTTTGTTTTACATGAAAATTGTCAATCAAAGAAAAATATTTTTTTATAATTAGGGATAGACTTTGTTTTCATTGTCACAAAAAAATAAAAAAATAAAAAAATAAAAGGGGCAACGAAGAAAACCAATTCCCAGCTAACCCACAAGAATACAAATTCCTCATTTTTTTCGTGAAAAACAAGTCACATGCCAAAATACTAGAAAACAAATTGCCAGGAAATATTGCCTAACAAACATGGCAAAAAGTGGAAAATGGCATTTTCAATTCCAACTTCCATAGAAAATATGACGCATCAAACGGAGCCTTATTATTAACACATTATTATAATCGAGAAATAGATAAACATATAATCCTTTTTATTTTTATTTTTATGAAGACTAATAAGGATAATGATGTTAAGTCCGGCGCAAGTTCAAAATCAAGTGTGACCCCCTTGAGCTGTAGATTCCACAACAGAAATATTGCATACTATTTGAAAGTGTAACCAAGATTATTCTTAATCGATTTTGACAAAATTTAAAGCTAATTGCATATAATTTGAATCATGCTGATTATTCTTAATCGATTTTGGGAAAATTTATAATTGTTTATGGTAGCTATGAAACATATGTTCAAGTTATCCTTAGAGAATGTTTGATTATATGCTAACATTGACCCAAATTTTGCCAATTTTTCATTTTAGTCCCTAGCTTTCTTCAAATGTACAGTTTGATCCTTTTTTATTTCTTTTCTGTCTTTAGCCTTTCTTATTTACCCATTTGATCCGCAGCACTCTCCAATCGTCGATATAATGTCTGAATCATCTTTTCAGAGTTTGCAATTTGGACCTCAGACTTTTAATTTCTTTCATTTTTGTCCATTTTTCGCTAATTTCCTCCAATCATTTTTGCACCGAATTTCTCCTAACAAATGAAATATATTCAAAATTAAGCCATTACAGCAATCAATCTAATTCAATGGGTCAAATAAATATAAAAAAAATACACTTATCAATGAGGCAAGATCGTTCAAAAAAATAGGTGAAGACACATGACAAAAAGAGAGAAGAGACGGAGTTTGCTAGGAGACTTGTGGAGTACATTCGAATCAAAGTGATAATTAAGTGGTTATTTATGTCATTTTGTATACATTTAATTTAGCAAATAAAAAAAATACTGAAAATGTCTGCAAAGAAAACACAACTATGGGTATAACAAAAGATTTGCGTGGTGACAATATAGTCATCCATTGTTAAAACAATCAAGGGAGAGTTTCGAATAGGTTTTCATCAATTTCAAATTTTTATGCCGAAGGTTATTCATTTCAAACCAGAAGTATTGCATAGAATATGACTGGATAAGTATGCTGATTGTTCTTAATTGATTTTATGAGAATTCTAAATAGTTAATGTTATTTGATCAATTGCCGAATAAAAAAATAATTAGGATTGAAAAAAACTAATTTAACATGGTAAACTCAGTCTTACAGACTCAAATTAAATTCCACTTCAAAAAAGGATACTTTCATTTCAAACTTTTGAAACTAATGTTGATTGTTCATTTACTATCCGATTTAGGTTGGCCTTACGTGCAGAATTAATCTATTAAAAGCAACAAATCACTTTTTAATAGTTTCTAGATGGTTATTCAAACAGTCCAATTATCCTAAGCTAAATTACCGTATTTTCTACTTTGAAAACAATAAATAACACCAATATTGTTGACGGAGAAATCTCAACTAAGTAAAAACTCCGGAACCAAATCAGTTACCTCCACTATAGATAATGAGCTTTACAGTTAGATACTATCTAACCAACTCTACAAGACTTTTCGATCTACGTCCTATAATCTTCAAGATACCACTGTCTCCTCCAACTCCCCGATCTTGTACAATTGTCTTTTTCAAGTGGAATTCCAAGAATCTTCAATTCTTGTGCTTTTTCTGCGCTTTTAGTCTAACCTTCCTCAATCTTTTAAATGAAGCTCATTTTGCATGTATATTTTGATCTTTTATTTTTTCTTCCCTAACTTTGAGTATACATCTTTCACATTTATCAATATTTTTAAAACTCATCAATTTTTACATTTTAAGTGCGACTAAAATGATCCCTGTAGCGAGCTTTAGGCTGGTTAACTTAAGTCAACTGACCATAGGCACAAGGTTTTGAGACACCCTGCATGCTTAATTTCTCAAGTCAAATAGGCTCTAAAGAAGAACATAAGATATTGAACTTTGTATTATAAGGGGATATACTTGAGCAAATGTGCATGTACCAATGCGAATATAATGAAAATGCACATACATGAAACTACCTAGAAAAGAAAATAAACAAATATGATGCATGCATAAATCAATGAGACATAATGATAAACACAAGCATGCACCAAGATTACCTGGTCAGTTAGGTAAAGAGACATTTTACCTTTAAGAGCACCGTGATCTATTTTAAAATTTTCTTGGTCACTCTTTTTCACCCAAATTTGCCTAGTGGGAGAACAATTCCAAAACAATTGTGTCACCAACTTGGTAAATCGACTCACTCAATCAGTGGAATCAAATCTAACCAACAAACTCCTGATCTTTACTCCTATTTAAGCTGTTGTTTCTATGTCTGTTCAACAATTGATGACACCTAAGGCGTATGTGTCCTATCTAACTATAGTGAAAGTATGTAGGGATAAACTAGGACTAAAGTTATGTGGTCGTTGATGTCTATTCCTAGGTTGATGGGTCCTACGCTGTCTAGTAGGCCTCTGTCCTACAAATCCTTTATTCTTTAGTTCAGGGTTAGGCGCATGTTTAGATTGGTCCTATGCTGTCTAGTAGGCCTCTGTCCTACAAATCCTTTATTCTTTAGTTCAGGGTTAGGCGCATGTTTAGATCGGTCAGTGGCAAGAATAAAAGTGATCTTTGAAATACTCACATTGTTGTGATTATTCTCTTTAAAACCTAGACTTCCCTATTACCAGTCGATTTTCTCATGAGGATGTTATCTAGTTTCAACGAACCTCTAGAAAAGGCAAGAAACTTTGAATACTCAATGTTGTTCAGAAGGTTCTTAACCTGGATTTTTAACTTCTCATTCTCAATAGTTGGCATACTAGCTTTCTTAGAGGACTTCTCAAGCTCACTAGTAAGATTCTTAACCTGAGTATCCAAGGATTCAGTTACAGACTTTAACTTACTTAGGGATAAGGTAAATTCCTGAAGGTCAGTTAAATGTTTCTCTCTCTCAGACTCAAGTTCATTGACCTTAGCACACAAGGCTTTATTCTTAGTCATAATCTTAATATACTCTTCATACATTTTATCATACACCTCATGTATATCTTTCTCACTTTCAGAATCTGATTTCTCATCACCATCTACATCCTTAACCTTTTCACTCTCCTGATCAGATCTACTCCTAATCGTAGCAATGAAGGTAATGTATTTCTTATTCTCCTCATGAATGATTTCTAAGATATCACAAACATCTTTAGCAACCTCATACATTGATACTCGCCTAAACACGTTAGGTAATATTGCCATAAATAGAGTATGTAAGGCTTTACTATTCCAATTACACTTATCTAAGTTCGTTTTAGTCCAATTAGCAATAGAAATGGGAGTTATTACATTATCAACTGTAGTACTAGCGGCAATCCAACCATTAACTACACTCAACCAAATCCGTTCATCCATAAATTTAAGGAAAGCTTTCATCCTAACTTTCCAATATACATAATTACTGCCATCAAAATATGGCAGGATGGATAGTGAACTACTCATCTAAATAAATTAAGGTAAAGAAGGCTCTGATACCACTTGAAAGTTCGTTTACCATCCGATTTAGTTTGACCTTACATGTCGAATTATTCTATTAAAAGCAACAAGTCACTTTTTTATAGGTTCTAGATGGTTATTCAAATAGTCAAATTATCCTAAGTTGAATTACCACAGTTTGTACTATGAAAGCAATAAATAGCACTAATATTGTTGACAGAGAAACCTCAACTGGGTAAAAATTTCGAGACCAAGCCAGTTATCTGTAATATCCCGAAATTTCATAGAATAGAATTTAATTATTGTGTGCTATATTTTAATGTATTGAAAGTTTAGGGACCAAAGTACATATAAAGTAAATTTCAATTTTTTTTGGGTTAAAATGTAGATGTTGACGGAGGGACAATAAGTATATGAATATTAAACTCGTTGGATAGATGGTAATTAATCATGCATATTAGGCTC